ATTGTATTCATATATTTTATATGTAAAAGCCATCAGGTACAGCCAGCGGCTGGTTGTCACCTGTCTACCTAGATAATCCTAAAAAGGTTTACAGAGCTCAGTAGATGAAGCTCAGATTACATATGCAGCTGAGTCATTCCCTCCTTCCTGAATCTCTGTACAGCTCCATGATGACTGCAGTGGGATGAAAAAATGTGTTTACATAAACATTCATCTTGTGTTTTAGGGTTCATTCAGTTTTGGATTGGGGGGGGGGGGGTTAGACTCTCGGTCAGGTTTTTGTTGAATCCTCGCTGGGGTGATTCACTCTCTCTCGATTTGAGATGACGGGTGATGGAAACCTCTAAAACGATGAGTTGCCACCAGAACAGGAACAAAGGGGAAATCTTCCAATGGGGACACCTGTTCTGGTGACAACTGTATAACTCACTTTGTAGAGGTTTCCTCTCACTTCCTGTTGTTCCTCCAGACAGGAAGTGAATAGAAATCTCTTCGGTCTTGCGTGAGGTAACAGGTTGTATTAATTCATCTCCTGGTTTGTTTGTTTTTTCCTCTAGTGACCCCAACAAACCCGTCCCGCAGGATACAAAGTTCATCCATACTAAGGCGAACCGTTTTGAGGAGGTGGCCTGGTCTAAATACAATCCCCGGGATCAGCTCTATCTGCATATTGGCCTGAAGCCACGCGTACGTGACCACTACCGAGCCACCAAGGTGGCCTTCTGGAAACATCTAGTGCCGCACCTTTATAACCTACACGACATGTTCCATTACACGTCTACTACGACCAAGGTGCCGCCCTCTGATACCACTCAGAATTCGCATATCACCCGCAGGCCCAAGGTTTGGGGTACGAAGCATCCGGGTGTCTCGCCCACACTTAACGGCCTGTCAGCCACGTGGCACCCTGGGGTGGATCCAGTGGATCCCGTCGTCATCCAGGATCCGAGGGACTATTCCACGGAGCTCAGCGTCACCATTGCTGTGGGTGCTTCTCTTTTATTCCTCAACGTGCTGGCCTTTGCCGCTCTGTATTACCGCAATGATAAGCGGCGTCAGGACACACAGCGCCAGCCCAGTCCGCAGCGAGCCTCGGCCACGCGGGACCCCACACACAGCCCCGTACCTCCCGAGGAGCTCAATTCACTGCAAATAAATGCTGGACACCCCGATTGCGAGGGAGGAGGAGTCTCCGGCCATGACAACCTGCGCCTCGCCACGCTTTCCGACTACACCCTTACATTACGTCGTTCCCCTGATGACATTCCACTCATGACCCCTAACACCATCACCATGATCCCAAATTCTCTGGTGGGACTGCAAAGCCTTCACCCCTACAACACCTTTTCTGCAGGCTTCAACAGCACCGGTCTCCCCCACTCACACTCCACCACCAGAGTATAGCACCCCACCACGTTGCTCTTCCTCCTTGCCCTGACACCGAGTCTACACGAGGGTGTCCGAGACAAGGAAGAGGCTAAATGACACATTCCATACCCCCCAAAGAAGAAGGGGGACAGGTGTGGGGCTTTGCTTCTGATACGGAAAGGGTCGATTCGGTCATGACCCACCAAGGACACACTTGTGGTGTGCTCTTGTCTCCTAAAGTGCTTTTACCTTTGTGGAGGCACGTAGAGTGAGGGAAGCTTAGGGTGAGGGGAACATTTCTTTGCAGATCAAGGCCTGTGACTCGGAAGTTGAAGATCCTGATTGAGGAAGAGGCCGGAGGGAAACAAGCCCAATGTATCGTCCCTTAACTTTTCCACAAAGCTTTTCATCAAACGTTCACCATTTCGACTTTCCAGTTCCTGTAAACCCTCACCGTCTGTACATGTGGAGAACCTGATCTGGTGCGGAACAGACGACGGAACGTCTACCTTACTAGCATAGAAGGACTGGGGAACGAGTAGTAGGCTCTGATAGAGATCATATTTCTAAAGTTTGTAGAAACATGGAAAGTTTTTTTTTTTATTGGGAGAAAGTCACAGGGACACGAGGGACTGTAAAGGAAGATACGTTTGATCCCAATCACCAAGCCTACTCAGCTCTACCCCAAATGTGTGCCAAATTCATTCACCAGCTAAGAGATGAGACTGAACACGGTCCTCGTTTCAAAACTACCTTAATCTTCCCAGTGCCAAATATATTGAGCCGGCCATCTTAGGCAGAAGGTACTATAGGTAATAAAATTGGTATCCGGCGTGAAGTTAGTTCTCAAAAACACATCCCAGGAAATACACTATGTGGCCAAAAGTTTGTTAACACCTGACCATCGCACCGACTTATCCGGCCAAAGGTATATGGACCCCCTTCAGGAGATTGAGTTTGGGTGTTCCCGGTGAAGGGTTCTGTTAATTCTACAACATAGAAAGACATTGTAGACGATTGTCCTCTACCCGCCTTGTGGTCACAGCTTTTGTGTTCCACCATGTCAGTCCCCTTTGTACAAAGCCAGCTCCATAAAAACATGGTGTGACCAGTTTGGTGGAGGAACTCGAGTGTCCTGCACAGAGCCCCGACCTCAACCCTACTGAACACCTTTGGGATGAATTGGAACATTGATTGCGTGCCAGGTCTTCTCATCCAACATCAGTATTTGACCAAATTCGAAGACACCCTCCAAAATCTTGTGGAAAGCCTTCCTAGAAGAGTGGAGGATGGTATAACCACAAAGGGGGTACCCAACGCGCTCGTATAGGTCAGGTGTCCACATGCCTTTGGCCATATGGTGTACTTCCAGCTAATGTCTTATTAGAACCTGTAGGCCAAGATAGGTTAAAGATTGCCTACCGCTGGGTTTTATAAGTAAACCGACTTCCACTGAAACAGAATCTGGCACTTCAGAGGATGAAACCGATGTCTGCGAAGGTTCTCACGCATCTAGGTCACGGTACAGCTAGTAGTAGTCAGTCACCCTGATGTGTCCGTCTCTGATCACTCGTAGTTGATCACATTCAGCTGGACTTGCTCTGTAATGTTGAAGACATTTTACAGCCCGTCCAAGTATCTTCTACTATTCAGAGAGGAGGAAGCTGCTCGGACCGGTGTCTTCAACATTGCAGAGCGAGCCCAGCCGAATGTGACCAACTACCAGCGATAACACAGACGGACACATCAGGGTGATAGACAGACTCGGGGGTGATAGAAAGCACCATGGGGTTTCAGTACATACCATTGGCATTTGCCGGGAGAAGATGGAAGCTCGACCACCTCTGCCACATCCCGGGGTGCCATGCCATAGGTTAATGCGGTCATAATCGTGGGCTGAGCTTTCAGTAACATCCATATCTGCGTTTCGGAGCTCCTGAGGCTTAAAAAACAACAACTTGTCTACCAGATCCTTGTGGCTGAAGTCACCTAATCTCCCATTTATAGAGACAGGTTACATAGAGGACGGGTGTTCAACACGTGCCAAACTGGTGTCAGACTCATCATGGAGGGGGGGGGGCGGGGGCGTGATAACCAGTGAAGACAGCCTAGTTTGCTGGATTAGTTTGTGTGGCCCAGCAGATGATAGCCAGACAAGCTGTAGAGTTACTTTTTAGGTGTCTCGTGGTTTCTTGTTACGAGGGACGGTCACAATGTACAATATATGATTTTCTATGTTTACAAAGTATCCAGTAGGCGGGGTTTCGTCTCCAATCCAATGAAGAGGTGGAAGTGCGATGCATCTATGTAAAGCTCGGAGAGAGATCTATATATATATATATATATACACTGTATATAGGTATATACACAGTATCTCACAGAAGTGAGTCCCCCCCTCTCATTGGATGATATCGTGTCATGTGACGACGCAGAAGAAATTACACTTTGCTACAATGTAAAGTAGTGAGTGTGCAGCTTGCATATCAATGTACAATCTGGGGGCCCCTGGCAGTATATCAGTGTACAATCCGGGGGCCCCTGGCAGTATATCAGTGTACAATCCGGGGGCCCCTGGCAGTATATCAGTGTACAATCCGGGGGCCCCTGGCAGTATATCAGTGTACCATCCGGGGCCCCTGGCAGTAGTACATTTGCTGTCCCCAACACACGGCAATTAATGTCTAAACCGCTGGCAACAAAAATCAGAACACATCCATCCAGATATCATCCAATGAGAGGTGTGTACTCACTTCTGGGAGATACTGTATGGAAAGCTCGGAGATATATATATACTGTATACACTGTCTATAGGTATATATATGGGAAGCTAGGAGGTATATATATATACTGTATACACTGTCTATAGGTATATATATGGAAAGCTCGGAGGTATATATATACTGTATACACTGTCTATAGGTATATATATGGAAAGCTCGGAGGTATATATATATATATACTGTATACACTGTCTATAGGTATATATATGGAAAGCTCGGAGGTATATATATACTGTATACACTGTCTATAGGTATATATATGGAAAGCTCGGAGGTATATATATACTGTATACACTGTCTATAGGTATATATATGGAAAGCTCGGAGGTATATATATACTGTATACACTGTCTATAGGTATATATATGGAAAGATCGGAGGTATATATATACTGTATACACTGTCTATAGGTATATATATGGAAAGATCGGAGGTATATATATACTGTATACACTGTCTATAGGTATATATATGGAAAGCCCGGAGGTATATATATATACTGTATACACTGTCTATAGGTATATATGGGAGATCAGAGGTTTTGTTACATTGTGTTTTATTGAAAGATACATCCAGGTATAAGAAGAATCCCCCACGCTGCCTCCTGGGACGAGTTGTAGAAACAAAGTCTTTGTGCATGTATGTGGGTACAAGTATGAGTCTCGGCCACGATGTCCACGTGCGGGTATATATGTGCACACACACACACATATACATATGGTCGCGCACAGGGACGGATTGGATCAGCTGCTGTACATATGAATACTCACATAGATGTTTTGCTG